TATACTAGTTTAGTGAAGAAGACTTACCCTCAGAATTTGAACTGGCTCGATTCAGCAGTAAAAGGTTACAGTCGAAAAAGGATTTCACTGAAGACTTTTGAGCGTCACTGTAGCTTGATTGGAAATCATTACCAAGCTCTCAGTATACGGTTAGCACGAAGAAAAAATCTCCTGAAGCATCTCAGTGAAACCACCGACAATAAGAACAAGACTTTTTCCTATCTAGAAACAATCGTACAATCGTTACGAGGCAGCTTTAATAATTACTTTATCTCTTGTACACTATAACAAAGAACTCAACACTACTGACTCACACAACACCTAGGCTTTGAACGTAGCTAAAAAGTTCACGACCACCTCCTTCAATTTGGCATCGGTGTCTGGTGAAATTTGACCCTCATTGTGAATCGTTTTCAACAGCTCCTGTTGTGTTGAGCGGATGTGAGCGAGGAATTCCTTCTCGAACTTGGTGATCGCAGATGGATCGACTTTGTCAAGGTGTCCTTTAACTCCAGTGTACATAGATAACGGCAACCTGTTCTCGATAGCCATCGGTACGTACTGTACTGTCCCTGTTTAAGCAATTCAGTAAGTCGGACTCCTCGGTTCAACAGTTGTTGGGTGGAAGCATCGAGATCGGAATCAAACTGAGCGAAAGCAGCGATCTCACGATATTGGGCGAGCTCGAGCTTCATGGAACCGGCGACCTGCTTCAGGCCTTGGGTGGGGGGGGGGTGGGCTTTGGCCTTGGTCTGAGCAGCTGATCCCACTCGAGATACAGACAGACCGACGTTGATGGCTGGTCGAACTCCCTTGTAGAACAATTCGGTCTCAGGAAAAAAAGAAAGACCTGAAGAAGGGCTTATGCCCGAAACGTTGCCAATAACTTGTGAAGAGAAAGAAGAGCTTCTCTCATCGCTAGAAGAATAATATTTTCACCCTTGATCTGACAATCTTGGCAAGTCTTGAATATTTGTTTAATTAGCATTTATACGACTGGTTCAGCTGAAATGGCCCTATCATCGGCGAGACACCTTCAACATGGCTCCAGGATGCCTCGCTTTAGTCGTCGGCAGTGACGAAAATCACTCACAGATGAGCTTGGCGACATTTTTTTCTCTGCTGGTCGTTATGAATTTTGATATGTTGAGCGCAGTCATCTGGATGATGCAGATGCATGTACTGCATCACCCAGATGCATTTTCGGCTTGTAAATAAAATGTGTTCTCAGGATGTAATTTTTGTGTGCACTCCTCAGGCAGGAAGGGTGCTAGAAAACTAACCTAAGGCCGGTCAGTGAGCAGTGAAGTAGTAATCTGGTGAAATGTATTGATAGGGGATGCATGGGAGGATGAACCGTTTTCTTTGTTGTTCAAAAGTAATATGTAAATTGCAATATCTGGAGCTGTTCAGCCCTTCTTCACTTGAAAAGCCAGTCCTGAAATTAGGGCACTGCAAACTTCAGACGCTCCGCCACTCGCCGCGTATAGACTGCGAGAATGAATTGATAGTCGGGTGGGTTCCGGCAGCTACGTCCGCGGCGGATGGCATGCGTCGCAGGGAGCATATTCCGATGCGAATGCATGTTGTTCGCGACCCTTTAGAGTTGAGATCCTTGCCGCTCCCCCAGTAAGTGAACATCGTTCTCTTTCCTTTTTTTCTCGTAACTTCTATAATACATGTATAAGAATATATTCTATTTTATAAAGCGCTAACTTTGTGTGTCGGTTTGTGTATCTGTGTGTGTGTGTGTGTGTGTGTATGTATGTATGTGTGTCCGTCCGCAAAATGAAGTGAGTGAGAAGGAAGCTCATGGGATAAACAAACCGCTAACAAATCGGGTAGCTTACAGGATTTGAGATATCAATGTTTTGTAGCAGGATAGTTGTGATAACACTCTTCAGGGCTATATAAACCTGCTTAGCACACTTCCGTTCATTCCACATGGTGCTGCAGTGGCAGCTGGAGGGCAGTGGAGAGAGGAAGGGAGGATGAGGAAGGGAAGCGAAAAATCTACCGTCATATCATGATTGTGTCCCTTCTACTGTATGAAACCATTGTGTTGCATACGCGTCACTTCCGAGGTGTTGGTGTCACAGGAGGAAGGGACCATAGCGGAGGATAGAAAGCTTGCGCAGGAAAGGAAGGTCCCGGCGGTTGACGGGGGACTAATCTGGTTATTGTTGGAACGCAATATGGTATTGTGCCAACATGTG